TACATAAATGATTTACCTCCCAATAACAATATGGTAAACTTTACTCTCTCTGCGAATGATACGACCGGCTCTCTCACTTGTAACAGTTTTGAGGACTCAATGGCACAGTCTGTGGCTGAGCAGGATGAGGCTAAACTTTTTCTCTGGGGGTTACCTTGGATCCAAGATTGCAGTGGGGCCTTCACATTGACAGTGTTGCTGGAAAGACCACCAATGGAATATATGTGTTACGGAGTCTGTGAGAATGGATTATTTTGCCATTTTCCATTCACATACATCCTACGTCATTCTCGGTTGGGGGCATTCTTCGTGGTCCATTGACTGTTTGCCTTCCAAAGAAGTGCAGTTAGGATGGTGGGCTGTTTGAACTACTGGGACGAATGCAGAGATGCCTTTGTCAAGCTGGGAATCCTTACTGTGGCTTGTTTATATCTTTTTGAAAGTAAGAAGAATCTAGTATATCTTTATTGGCGACTGAGGTGTCAAGATGGACCTGGTAATTGAGCAGTCAAATTTTTTAATGTACTATACATACTTTCAGATGGTTTGAAATTGCTTCCGTTTAAATATTTTGAAGCTCAAGTCAAGAAATTTTTTATTAATAACTCATTTTACACGTTTGACATAGATTTTAACTATAAATTGTGCTAGCGATTTGGATGTTTTAAACTTGACTTTAACTTGTTTTATATGTGTATGAGTGCTGGTGTAATTATGTTTGTAATTTTTTGTGAACATTAGCACTCTCTTTGTTTTAGTTCTAAGCATTTCTCATTTCGACCATTGACGTGTGTAAACATATTTTATGTATTGTGACATGAATAAAGAATTTGAATTTGAGCGAGATCGAAACGGTTCGTTTTTAGGCTCAAAAAATGGCGCAAGTAGGTTGACTCCGTACTTCTCATGCTGTCGTAAGTTCATAAATGATTATTATTATAAAATAAAAAGATAACAAAAAACTTGATGGAGGGAGGGAGGATTTTTAAATGGAAAGTATGGGCTTTTATGAAAGGTTATCATACATCCCAAACATTTACTCAATAAAATTAATTATCTGTTCAATGAACTTAATCACAATACCTCAAAGATGTTAAGGGTCAGTATTTTGAACATCTGCTACATTATGATTCGTATCGAATTTATTTATATATCATCTAAAATCAAGTATGCTTACTTATTTAGCTCAAAATAGGCAATTTCGGATTTTATTCATCAAATATTTTTAATGTTAAGTTCTGCAGTAGACCTAAAAATAATATCAGACGATTGAGTAATAAAAAGGACTTTCAGATGATGTATGATATGCCAGCACTTGTCATTTAAAATTTGTGTGGTTGCAAACCAGAACCTTAGGGTAATACTAAGGGTATTAGTGCCTTAGGGGAAGAAATATCGCATAAATATGCACATACACATCAATCGAGAGAATGAAATCCTCCACTCTGTATATTAATGATTATAGAAAAACATCGCGACCACAGCTATTGTTTTCGAAGGACTTCAACGACAGGCACATCAACGAACTTAACTCTATTCGGGTTATTTTTGTGCTTTTATGGAGCTCGTTCTATTATATTCCGTCGAGCACTAACCCATTGTCCCTCAAAAGGCGTAAATATCCATTATTCATTTATCAATATTCGCAAGGATACGTCGGTATGCTCACCGACCATTCACTATTGTCTATTATTTATAACGTCAATGAAGATGTCATCTGTTTATGATGCACCTCTACTGAATATATCCAGCTGGTAACCAATCACCATGCACCTTTAACAGACAGCTGGGCAGTCGAAAAACTGTTCAGCATCTACTACACAAGATGTGTCAGGTAGCATTTCACAGCTTGTGTGTTTTCTCTAATCTTTTGACAAAAATTTATCTAGGACTGCTGGTAACGGGATATACAGAGCAGTCAGATTATTTATTTAATGAATTTATCGTAGAAACAAACAGAAACACATTCTTATTTGATCTGTCTGTCGGTCTGTCCGCTAATTTTATAATCGCCTATAACTTAAGAAGTACTACTCCGGTTATGATGAAATTCTCAAACAAGGATGAAAAAACCTTTGTAGTTTTTGGAAATCGGTCTAGTGGTGGCGGAGCTAGAGACAAAAACACGAAAAAAAAATAAAATTCGCTTAAACTTTTTTTTTACGTTTCAGAGGCTCCTGATCTTTTTGGGAAATTTTTTTGTAAGTGTTTAAACTTGGGGGTTGGAGGTTGTAAATGTAATGTCTTTAGTGTTAGTTGACGGCGTTTTTGTGAATCCTGTGACATTCAAGAAAGTCCAAGGATCTAGTTTGGAATGTTCGTATTATTTGAATAAGCACTCATCACTTTTGACATATACTTAAACCCCTTTGATTAATTTTGGTGCCAGATAATGATCATAAATTACACTGATGGGAAACATTATCTGTTTTTTTTTTCTATAAATCCTGTATACTAACCAACGTGTAGCGTAGTAACTTTCTTCTCATAGCCAAATCTTTATGCAATGTGTGACAAACACGTTTCTCAGGAATGTTTGCAGTTTCTGTTATTTATCCCAATTTGGTTAGCAGCTATCCGACTCGATTTTACTTTCCGGCGCGTAATATAAAATACGAGCCCCTTCCCACTTCAGCTGGCCCACTTCAAGATTTGTACCAAAATATGTATTTATAAACTAAACATGACGAAACTATTTACTTCTAAAACAATTTATTTTCTCAAACACATTTTAGATACACTCTAGTCGCAAAAAATACATATTTGAAATCACTATATCACCTATAACTAATAGAACATCTGAACAAATAAACAATGTGCGAATAAATGCGCGAAGTTAACAAAGCAACAATTGAAAGATTACCATTGGGTAACATCACCTTTATTTTTATTACGGCTGAAATTCTTTGGGGCATAGTGTTAACCAAGTTTTGGCAAAAATTTGGTGTAAAACAATCCCATATTTCTTGAAGCTTTTGTCTCAGTTCGGTGATTGTACGAGCAGGATGTTGTCTTAGAACCTTTTTCATCTCGTGCCACAAAGTTTCAACAGGTGACAGATCTGGACTGCTAGAAACCCATTTCAAAAGTGGTACATTATTTTCTTCCATCCATTTTATAACCTTTTTTGAGGTAACTCTTAGCCGGATGTCAAACATTCTTCCATCACTGGTAAAAGCGATTCTTCTAAAATTGCCAAATATTTGTTTGTGTCCACATTTCCATCAATAAAATGAAGTTTTCCTACTCCTTTTGATGACCTACTGCCCCAGACCATAATGGATGCTGGAAATTTCACTTTTCTCTTCAGACAGTCAACAGGGAATGCTTCATTTTTCTTTTGCAGTGGAGGTAATAGTGGCTTTTCTTTGGCCTATAAACAAGTTGTGCAACTTTAGGGTTTTTACTTCACTTTTTTTATAAGAAAACTTACCTTGCAAGTGCTAAATCCCAGTTTGTGGGCCTCTTTCTGAGTTGTGGACCTCGAAATTCTCCTTCCAACAGGGTCACTCCACAGAGCACTTAATTGTAAATAATTGGCACGCCTGTTTTTCATGATTATTCTTCTTAATGCTCTTCGGTCGGCATTTGTGATATTACTTTTTTTTCACATATCGTGGCTTAATATTAACTGAACCAGTTACGTTATATCTTCTAACAATATTTCTCACACTGTACCGTGATAAGTCTAACAAAGTTGCAACTTCTGAGTTTGATTTCCCAGAATTAAAAAATTTAATTATCAGTAACCGAATTTTCTCACTAATAACCTTTCCTCTACCCATTTTGAAAACCCTAACTACCCAAAACTATTTTAAACGTATTCTGACAGCTGTGATTAATAAAAACAATTGTCATGGCTTTTATTTTTCACAGCCACCTATGCGTCATAGACTTATTTTGCATTGAAATGAAAATAGGTTGATATGCTGTAATTGCAACATGTGTTATTTTTATGCTGCAAATTTGATTAGGGAGTGATAAAGTTGGTGTTTTCTACAATATATTATCAAAATCTTGATTGTTAATATTTCAAACCTATAACACCCTGCTACATTTTTATTATTTGTGTTTGATAAGAAAAAAACTAAGATTTTAATAGTTGGGCCAACTGAAGTGGGAAGGGGCTCGTAGTATCAAACGCGGAAAAGATTTAGCATTTTTCGACGTCCAATCCCAGTGTCTCTAAATTTTAAGCTGAAATCTTTCAAGTATCTGGTTTTATATTACTCGAAAAATTTTTCAAAATGAACTTAATATGTGTCTGTGTCAATGTAAAGTGATATTAGGAGCATATAAATTACGTGAATACCCTCGTATGGTCGTTCATACTTGTGTTACCATCAACGATTCTCATATGACAAGGATATAGCTGAGTATTTCATTAAATAACTATTGTCAAAAAATCAGGTTTCGTTTTTTTGAAATTCAAATGGGTTATTACGAATGCCCACGTTACCGCATGCGCCAAATATATGTGTGCTGCCAAAACAATGTTGCCACGTTTTTCTCATAAAATCTCGTACTTCTCAACAGATTTTCTATAACGCGGAGTCGCGGGTATTTGAGAGTAGTAAAAAAATTTCAATTTCAAACTTCCGCGTAGGGACCCTAAAGGCTAATCAGCTAGGGGACAAGTTACAGGTTTTACGAATAACTTTATGAAAACAGAAAGTTATTCATAGTTTTTCCATGGTCGATAAGTTTTTAGCGCCCTGCGCGGGAGAGTACAGAACTCAGTTTGGTATTAAAAGAGAATTGTAAGTTTGAAATTCAATTTTTTCTTAATATCTAAATCTCCTAACCCCGCCTAAAGACTTCAGAAAAAAATCACACCACTTTTAAATCGGTTTTGTGCTTTTTTACCTCTCAAATGCATGTAGGAGAAGTTTCAATTTCTACCATAAACCTAAAATCTCCCTTTTGCGTGGTAATAGATATTTTTTCGCCTAAATTTCCTGGACTATTTAAAATCTGGCAACACCGCGCAAGCGTGCGCTCAATACAAAGCGACTAAAAGGTGAAGTTCAACCAAAGCGCCATGTCTGTGAACGTCAAGGAAGTGTATTATTTAATTTTACAACACGGAACATCAGTCAAGATTTAGCCTGGTGGCGGTGTTTAGCCCTACAGGCTGTGCAACTCTTTCTAAAAAACACGCGTCGAGACTAAAGTGACCGGTGACATGTGAGATTCGACAGAAACAACGCCAGAAAGGTAAGTAGATGGTGCTTGTAATGGATGCCAATATGGTCTACTTTTGTATAGCGGCGTGAGGGTACGGGCGAAAATGGACCTTTCTGGGATACAATAAAGACTGTTTTCGCTCAAAACATCAGTGTGCTGTGATAAGTAGCCGAATATTTGTTTATAAACAAAAATACGAAATTCAAACAACCGGCTAAATACCGACATTTGAGCAAAATGCATTTTCTATAGTGATACGTTGGCTTTTAGCATTGTGTTAATTTTGAACCCCTCAGAATTGTATGATTAACTCTGGTACATAAAATGGTGATAATAAGCTTGCTTGTTACGCCTTAAGGATCAAATGGCATGTCTCCTAGTATCATAGTCACCTAGTTGATATTCCAATGTTTTATCAATCAAAATCAATTATGCTTGCGCTACTAAATTTCGATTTTCAACAAATTTTATATATGCTTTAACCCATTTTTGGCAGAGTTTTATGGGTAAATGCCAATACTGTAAAAAAATGAATTCAAGGAAATTGACAATACTCCCATAGACCCATATATATATACTATATTTACATTTAAAAATCACGAGTTCACCCCCAAAATGTTTTTTGGCTCCGCCCCAAAGCTTTAAAAAAACTTCAAAAATGTCCAAAACCAAAGTGTATAATTTCTAAGATTTTGACTGCCCTAAAATTATCAGAAAGTCAAAAAACGAAGCTTGGTGACATTCTGAGTGTGTTGTTTTTTAGTCATATTTTCTGATGTAGCATCTAAAAAACATGATATAATTGGAGTGTGAAGTCAAATGAGAATGGAGTTTTTCATTCTCAGAAATGTTTTTAAAATCGTCCAGCCATGGTGGAGTTTGTGGGAGAAACAAAACATTTAGGAATAAGCCCAATCTTTGTTTTTTGATCACTATTGAACATTTTTTAGAAATCACAAACTTCGTTTTTTGATGTTTTTCAATTATTGGTGATCAGAAGTTTTAGAAGCAGTCATGTATCATATTTTCTTGATCTATGCCGCATAGATTTATACCAACGCGTGAAAACTACAATCAATCCACTTGGCGCCATTTTTTTTCTATTAAAGATGGCATCTGTCGATGCGGCAGAGAAAGAGGCCAGTGAGGTTCTACACACCCTATTGGCAGTGGAAAGGATAGAAAAGCAAGAAGACAATGGGAAAAATCAGCCAACAACAACGACAACTTTTCAAACCACAACTGTCACCACAGGAGATGATGAAGGAGAAGCCCAAATACAATGGCATACTCCTGTACCCATCTCTCACTCTTTGTTCTCCACTATTGATGGAGCCAGTCACTTCACCCACAATATTGACGATCAGCAGGTAGTTGTATAAGTTTAAGATCACCATTCGTATTAATGTTTCCCCGTATGTTGTAGCAAAACTCAAAATTCGGCCAGACCAGGAAGCCTAGTCTTTTTCTTGCGAAAGCATGATGGTTATTCAAAAAATAGCATTCTTAGCGATCATTCTCGTATCCACCTTTCATACGAATTGTTTGTTTGCGAATACGTAAATTCGAAGGAATACCCTCTTGACATTGTCAATATTAGCGAGAAAGCAATACGTAGCATACACATATAATGAGTTCAAGTCCCAAGCTTACTCAGCTCCATCCGGTGTCCCCAGGGGTCTAACTTGGGACTACTTTTATTTCTATTGTTTATTAATTTGAAATGTATGCAATTATCTTTTGCTGATGACATGAAAGCCATTCATCTATAAGCGATATTCATGATTGTTTGGACTTACAGATAGAGTATTTGAACAAATTTGTATGGCCTGAGTGTACAGACAATCACCTTAAACAACATAGTACCTATTGCGAATTTTGCGATATCCACTATTTTTTTATTTAGTTATTTATACACTACCCATGGCAACAGCCATTTACAGAGTACGACAATACAAGCAAGTGTGGGTGTGTGTGTGAGTGCAGATAAGAAAGCAAAAACAGACATATTCTCACAGAAATATATTCTTTGTTCTGCCACGTCATTAGCCTTACCACAAAAACAAAACTTCCAGAATGATCCAGGGGTAGGCAAATAAAAAGAATCGTCTGGAATTTAAACGTGGGACAGGAAAATTAAATTTATGCAATATATTGCGACAATCGATATGATTGTGCTATATATACACACGCACACACACTTATCACGCCTCTCCCTAAGACTTTTTAGATTCTAGAACAAAGGCTTTTTCAAAAATATTTTGGGGTTATCCAATTGGCGGGATACTGCCATTTTTCTTGAAATGTAGGTCGCTGGATATTTTCAAGTTTATCTAATCAAAAGTTATAGAAAGGCTGCCAAATAATTGATGCATATTCAAGCTTTGAACGAAAAAGTGACCAATTTAAAAGCTAAGTTGTAATTCACGGCCACAGCGTATAATAAAGCCCAATCTTTCGTAACCGTCAGCAATAATTGACTCCATATGACTATCGAAGCAATACTTACTATTAAAAATGGCTTCACTTGAGCGATTAAGAGGCGCACCAAGAATACTTGTTGGTATAACTTCACTCCACTTCACAGCATTTAAATGCAAGCTAATTTTGCGACATTAGCTGTCAAGCATGTGGGATAATCTTAATATTCAACCTCGTAAATATTGCACGTATTGTTTGAAAAAGGTCAATTTCATATTAGGATGTATGGTTGAGTTGTAAAATACCATCATGGTAACACTCCAGCGAAATGGATTCCTAAAATTTTAGTCACTTATCAATGCCTATTGCAGTATGTTGAACATATTATGTAAAAGAATCGAATAAAGGCAATTTATTATTATTATTACTATTATGGATGAGAAAAACGATCGCGATCTAGTTAATCAAATTTAGGTTTGGCCACGTGTTGAATTTTGACTACAATATGTAGTTTTAGTACCAAAACCTAATATTCACTTACCATTTCCAAAAAAATTTTAATTAATTGGTTATTGGAACAAGATTTATGGTTTGTTTCGCTTTCCAGGTGATTTGGGAGGGCCACGCCATCGTAGATACTGACAATAATATCAGCACCATCTACACTGGCAATGTTGAGAGCTCTGAACCCAGTGATGACTCTACAAAATTTGTTGTTGCTGAAAACAAAACTACTAATAAATCCCCTTGCAAAACACCCACTAAAAAAGTGGTCGCAAAGAAAAAAAGAAAAATAGAACCGACTATTGCTAATGATCCCACAAAGCTTGAAGAAAGTGCTGCTCAAGTAAAGGAACGTTTTAAAAGAGGTTGTGAATGTCAGGATGAAAGCTGTTTTAGAGGGTTGAACCCAGAAAGTGTGTATAAACATAGGCTTAATATTGCAGAACTTACTAAAGGAGAGCATGACATGTACTTAATGGGTGTCACAATGGCTTGCCTGGCAAATCCTGAGACGACTGTGAGACACAGAGAGAGGAGAAGACTTAGAGCACAATATGTATACCAAGGTCGGAGAGTTTGCCTTGACGCTTTTTTGTATTTAGAGAACTGCACGCACTATCAACTTAAACGGATAAGGAAACATGTTATGACTCATGGAGTTGCGCCAAGGGTACATGGAAACCATGGAAAGAAACCGCATAATACGTTTTCCCTGGATATATACAGACATGCGACAGAGTTTCTCAAACAATATTTGGAACAACATACTGGCGAGAGAAACATACTAAATACTAAGCAACCTATTCAGCTTCCATGGGATGTGACAAGAAAAAACTTGCATGATGCATACAAAGAGTATGGGCAAATTCTTGAGCCAGGTATTAAATTGATGGGTTACTCAACATTCAGGCATTTCATGAAAGAACAATTTCCACATGTGAAATTTTGCAAGTTTGATCCTAAGTCGTGTACACAACACGGTAATAGTACGAATAACTCAAATCAGCAGACACAGACTCAGCAACAGCCAGCCCAACAACAGCAACAACAACAGCCACAACAGCAGCGGCAACAGAGTCAACCTCAACAGCAAGCTCAACAAGTTCAGCCAAATGTCCAACAAACGACAGTCCAAATACAAGTAGAGCGACCAAGAGAAGCGCAGATTCAACAAGTTCAAAAGTGCGTGATAAATAATGAGGTTCAACAAGTGATACCACTGGTTGTAGCTCCATCTTCCGATAGTGCTAACAATCAACATCACCAACAGGCGTTCCTAGTGACGCCGGTACCTCAGCTGATTCAAAATGGAAATATTGTGACCACTCAAAATACTAATAATCACACTACACCGAATACGTTTTCATATCAACTTACGAACACGGGTTATGTGATCAATGAACAAGGAAATATTGTCACTACTACCATGGCGAATGCTCAGCATCAATCGTATACGTTTGGTAGACTATAAACTTAAACCAGCTAACACACGGCAGCGCAACTTCCTGAAATTTTGGGCGATTTTTTATGATTTCAAATCTTGGCGCGCTAGGCGCTACGCGCAATTGTACATGGCCATCAGTGTTGCCGAAACTACCGATTTTTCGGTATTTCTACCGAAATACCGAGAACGACCTCACTTGGGCGGTCGGCCACACGATTGACGCACGAGGGTTGTTTCGAAAATAGGGTTCCCACATTTTTTCAGGCCAAAGGGATTTTTTATTTGAGAAAGCAGAAAATCCATCGCAGATGTTGTGACGGCCCCCATTTTATTCTTAAATCTACCGAATTTCAACGACACTGTCTACCGATTAAGTCTTTTTCGGTTCGGCAACACTGATAGTCATACTCCTAGGCATCCCAAGGGAAAGTTGCTGTCGGGGTTCTTGGCATAATAATTCGGGTACGCGTAATGCAATGCGTGAACATGGATCCCTCATATCCTTGAGAGTTGCTTTAATTTTGAAACTGTGTGCATCGTTGTTTCCCTTCTTTACATAAAGCCAAAAGACTTTGTAAAACACTCGAGAATTCTACACAATATCGTATATATTATTTTCTTATCAATTGAAACCAGAAGCGATTCTAATGTGATTCTTGTACATATGTGATTATTGTAAAATATTGTAATTTTTTAGTACACTAGATGAAGAGAAGACTCATCAAAAAGACATTTTTGCATATGGGAGGAAGTATCATTTTGTATTCTACTTATATTGATCTAATTTTGGTATTGGTAATTTTTGACACTATTTATTGTTTTACATTTGTTATTATTATTACGCAGCGAAATATTTTTCCTTATTCTTTTTTAGGGAGTTAGTTCTTTATACATTGAATTGTGGACTATTTATATTTTTTACAAATAAATTCTGTTTTACGAGAACAAGACTTATTATTTAAGCCCGGTTTTTTAATCGCAAGTTAACTGCATCTTGGCAGCTAACCAGAAGTTAATTCTTAAAAGGTGTAGTTAACATGTACTGGGTTACTATATAGTTCTGGTCAAACCGCAATATCTATCCTAAAAAAATGTTAACCGATGAACCGAGGTTATTCTTTAAATTTGCACTTGATTATTGTCATTTGCGATTCTAATATAGATTACAGAGCTGAGAAGAGGATAGAGGGCCTCAAAACCTATCGAATGAACCCCTATATGTGTGGTCCGAAATTGTATAGTTCAGGAGATATTTGCAATTTTGTGAAATTTCGAGAAAAAACGGGATAATGAACTTTCAATCGCAATTTCAACTAAACCATTAGGTTGAGGGCTATTTTTTTTTTCTGAGATACGCTAAATGGATAGTTTTAGCGATGTTTATGTCACTTTTTAACAGAGCTTATTAGAAATCAACGCAAAAATTCTTAAATTCATTGTTTTGTGAAAAATCTCTTCCATCTCTCAACTTTGGAGGGCGGTAAAAAAAAATTGAGGTTGTATTTCATTATTCATTTTATTGTAAAAAACTATTTCAATCCGTGTAGAATAAACCCTGGAAATTTCAGCTTGCTACGATGAGTGTATCATGTCACGTCCGTTGTTGTGATGCGATAAACGTAAGAAACGCAATAGAATCCTTGCCACTTACAAGTATAGAACCTAGTGTGTTGGACCACTCTTTATGGCGATTTACCGACAAATGTGGACGATAATTTAATTTAACTAACTTTTAAAGAACATGTTCGAAATGGCCTCCATTATTTTCTATACACAAGCGACACCTTCTAATAAAATTGCCCGTTAGTCCTTGAAATGTGAAATTAAAGTTGGATTCATATGTTTATAAGATGCTGTCAAAAAAGTTTCATCCTGTTCGCACCTTCTGAACATATTCTCACAAAATTCAACCCGTTGTGCATAGTCGCTTTGAAGCACTTCTTGTACTTTTGAACATGGTAAGGATGCATATTCTCCGAGCGTAATATTGTGTGCACTGAAGTATGGGATATATTTCTGCTTCGGGCAATCGCTCTGGTGCTTATAGAGGGATCTCCCTCGGCTGCTTCTATTATACACCTATCTTCTATTTATTCTGGGCGTATCCTTGGCGCTCCCAGCTGACGATGAGTGCTTAGTATGCGGCCCTCCATATATGCATTATAGCCGAGTAGTCGGCTGTGGTCCATCTTCTCTAACCACATACTCCCGATACATACGAGCAGCTGCTCGAGCATTTCCTAGGGCAGCACTATAATAGTAATGCATTTCTGCATAACCTTGCGGGGAATATGACATGATTCTACTCGGATGCCAAACGTTAGATACAAATTCCGCGCTGGACCATTGCCCGACTCAGTAATTTCGGTCGGACCGAAGGTTGAGCGCTCCCGCATCTGGAATGCCAAGTATATTGTGCTGATTTGGCTATTTGCGTAAAAAACGGCCGTTTTGATTTTACAAAATTTTAATACACACAGTATCACTCGCACTGCTAGGACGAAGCTTACAGTACCTCATATGTTAAAATCCATCAAGTCGTTTGGACTGTAGCTCGTAAAATAGAATTTCTTGTTTACATGTATAGATACGCACCTGCGTCAAACGTACAGATTTTTTAAGGTGAGGCACTTATCGTACCAAGCTGAAATTTTCAGGGTTTATTCCACATTGATTGAAATAGTTTCTACAATAAAATGAATAATGAAATACAACCTCAATTTTTTACAGCCCTTCAAAGTTGAGGGATGGAAGAGATTTTTCACATAAAAAATGAATTTAAGATAGTTTGCGTAGATTTCTAATTAGCTGTGTTAAAAAGTGACATAACCATTGCTAAAACTAACCATTTAGCTCATCTCAAGAAAAAACACAGCCCTAAACCTAACAGTTTAGTTGTAATTGCGAGTGAAAGTTCATTATCCCGTTTTTTTCGAAGTTTCACAAAATTGCAAATATCTCCTGAACTATAAAATTGCGGACCACACATATAGGGATTTATTCGATATGTTTTGAGGCCCTCTATCACCTGACTTCCGTTGATCCACTACCAACTTTACACCCTGTATAATTAAAAAGTAAATACTTTCCTGTGAAACTAATAAAGCACCTAATTATTTTTTAAATACTGCACAAAAAAAACAATGCATGACTCGACAGAAACTCAGTAGTTCCACGCCCATTGTCATCTGATATGATTCGCCCTCAATAAAAGATTTTTATTATTATTATTAATATTTGTGTGACAGGTACAGGTACAAAAATCGTCAAAATGACCATATAATAATCTAATAAATAATACTGCTATCATCCGTATGACCGAACAGAGCGCCAACCGTATACAACACTCTCGGGCTTTTTGGGAATCATCAGATTCGATTTAGGCAGGTCTCTAGCAACGAAATATCCTTTATCGGAGGAATAAGGTATGATGATGATTGCCAGTAAGCATGAGACAGCTGCACACGGTTGGCGCTCCGTTTCGTCAGACGGACCACGACCAGATGTACTGTATCGCCAGAATCGAGCCCATCAAATGGTAATAGTTTCGATATTGTACAGGTATAGATACGAGGGTTGTTTCTAAAATAGGATTCCCACATTCTTTTCAGGCACAAGGAATTTTTCATTTGAAAAAACGAATTCACCATTGGAAACGATCTTTAAGCGTTTTTTATACATAGGAATTCCGCCGGCAGCCCGGTTAGAACCTTGGTAACTGCTCCTTGTAACTCCTCGTCCATCTCGAACCGCGGACCGTTGAGGCATGAGGATGCGCATTGTTGTGGTGCAGTCTTACGCTACGTCGATTTGAGATTACCCGTCTCAGCCCCCAGGAATTTCAACCGCCTGCTCCCGAATCGTGGGTTGTCGGTTTTCGAGCAAGATTTGCTCAATCTTCGCCGCACCTTCCTCGGAGATCGGAGGCTTCCTGCTTTGTTGTTCATCGTGGATTTCCGTGCGAGCACTCTCTTCACCAGTCGAAGACATGTTGAATGCTAATACACTTTCCTCCTTTTGCTTCACCCAAGTGGCGATGCATTTCTATGGGTGTTAACGTTTTTGCGTGCAAAAATCGGATAACTGCACGAATTTCGCACCTGGCGGTGATGGCGATAAAACGCTCCATTGCGCATGACTATCGGGCCGGTACTGAGCATCGCAAGTAGGCGCTTCTTGTTGGGATCGGTGGTGGGGAGCCGATAAACACGACGCTGTTGCCAAATTTCGCCTAGCGCGGCAAGGATACAGCGTTTGGAACCTTATTTTTAAGACAACCCTCGTAGCTGCTATTCACTATCACTCGATTCTGGTAAGAGATAACTTGTGCCTAGTTCATATAGATGCGAAATGTGAAGACGCGAATTTCCAATAATTTTTGAACCATTTTTGTTTATTTATTTTTAGTGTTCGGTCGCATGTGGGATGTTGCATTTATTTGAAATAAGAATATAGAAACATTCTTCTATACTTTATTATATAATGGATGCAATACGACATGTGTTTCTTTGGCGTCGAAGGCGAGCAATTGCCGCGTATTTAGTCTTAGAGAACAGAAATAATAGATCAATTCAGACGATCGATACTTCTTTTTAAGTTTAGAAGACAGCAAGGGATATTTCGTCCAGGAAGTGTGACTTAGAGATGAAAAAAAGCTTTTTAACTAGGTAGTGGTGTCACTTCAAAGCGAGCGAAAATGAAGTAATCAAACTTGCTCAACCCCAAAGATCGGAAGATATTAATAGATTTTCAAGTTTCCCTCCCCCAGAATTCAAATTTCGAGAATCACAAGAAAATTGAAATATGAAAGCTGTCACTTGTCACGTCACTATCTTGACAAATGGTAGTAATGTGCTTTCTAGTTCAAATCGGTGAACTAGGTCGCGCTCACTAAAGCGAACTAGTTATAGGCACTAGTTCGCGAACGAACTATTTTACACAAGAATAATGTGAGTGCAAGCAGCGTCGGGCGCGGTTTGCATTTGGATGGGTAACCGCTTCGGAACACCTCGTATTGTTCTTTTTTGGTTAAGATGGATGTTTCAAATTTAAATGTTCCACGTAAACTGTTGCTCATATAGTAGATGTAGCTATGTGATATAGGTACATAGATATTTTCCAACAATCTCAAATAATGTATTCCTTTGGTTTTTGACTTCGCCATACAAAGATATGCAGCCCTAGGTACGTAGATGCCTACTTTCGCGAGAAAGTTTTGTTTTATACCGAAGCAGCAGCGTCAGGCAGAAGCCTAAATGCCTGGACGCCGCGGCTGCTATGATGATCCCAAAGAAATTTTGTTAATACGATTTTTGAACTGCGCGATGTGCATGCCCTGGGGGTCTGTCTGGCAGGCCCATCACGCGGCTCTGAGGAGGTGTAGCGGGAGAAAAGAGCTAGATCGCCGACGGTTTGCCAGTGCGAAAGGGTCCCGAGACTGTCTGTTGGAGAAGAGTCATCGATCAGTCGGACCGCTCTCATCTGGAGATTATCGAGCATAAATAATGTAGTCGGGGCGGCAGCACCCCAAACCTGTGAGCAATACTCGAGGCTAGGCATTATCTGGGCCTTGTATAGAGTGAGAAGGGCTTGCGGAGAAAAGTACTTCTTAGCCCTAAACAAATAGCCTACCTTTTTTCCAGCAGCTGCCGCTATTGACGAGATGTGTTCGTGCCAGATCAGGTCCTCGGTGATCTGGACTCCGATCAGCCGAAATGAATGGCTCTTTGGCAGAACTAGGCCATCCATCGAAACCGGAGCGCTAGGACGCTTTTTGTTCCTCAAAGTACAGTACTGTGTTTTGGAAGCATCAAACTGTACAAGATTGTTGCGTCCCCAAGCAGTGATAATCTCCAGGTCTCTCGTCAGAGAGGATGTCGTCGCTAGTTTTCTTTTGTCCAGCTCTGCGAGAGAGATCGACTTGTCACTCTGAATTCCTGCATGTGAGAGTGCTGTCATCAGCGGAGCTGTGGATTGGGTAGAATCGTACAGGAAAGGAGGTCGTTGATATGTAAGAGGAACAGTGTCGGAGCCAAACCCGATCCCTGGGGAACACCCGCGTTGACGTTGTGGTATGAAGAGAAATTACGACGGATATCTTGCGGCCAGAGATATAGTCAGCCACCCATCTGCAAAGCTTTTCTGGGAGGCCATAGGATGGAAGTTTGCTTATGAGGGCAGCGTGCCACAGCTGATCGAACGCTTTCGTGATGTCAAGAGCAACATGCAACATGAGCCTCACCATAAGACTTGAAGGAATTTAGTTCGCAATTGCGTGACGTAGGCTAGGAGGTCCCATGTGGATCGTTGGTGCCGGAAACCATACTGCCTGACGCTATTCAAGCTGTGACGTTCGAGGTAGTCCAGAAGCTCGTGATTTATGCTCCTCTCCATCACCTTACTCATAACAGAAAGCAGAGCTATAGGCCTGTAGTTTTAAAAGTCGGTCTTAGATCCTTTTTTTGGAATGGGTTGGACATTAGCAAAATTTCCAGTTTTCTGGAAAGGTGCCGGATTCATAAGATATCTGGAAGAGACGCGAAAGAACTGGAGCAAGCTCTGCTGCACACCTGTTCAGTACAATGGCAGGAATCAAGTTCGGACCAGAAGCTTTGTTGATGTCGAGCGACAAGAGCACTCGTCTTACGGTCTTATGCCTCAATGTTACCTCCCGCATAGTGTAGGGAACCCTTTGAATTGACGGCACTTGGGCGTTGGGGGGGACGTCCATGGTGGAGTTGGCATCAAAGATCTTGGCAAGCACTTCCGTCTTGGCCTTTGAGTCGGATACAATCGTTCCATCCTGATACGTAAGTGGTGGAAGGTTACTGTGTGAGTTCTTTTCAAACTGCTTGGCCAGCGTCCATAATGACCGACTGCCATTGCGCTGCGACATTACCCTGTGCCTAACTTTTTTGCTGGATTTTGGCATTGCGAACCGCTTCGTTATATTGGTTCTGGACTCGACGTCGGCTTGTTTGTTCTCTACAGTGGGTTTTTGTAAGAAGGTTCTGTGTGCCTTGATCTTCTGCTGGCGAGCAGTGTCACACGATTTGTTAAACCAGTCGTAGGACCCTGGTTTAGGCACTTTCACTGTGTGAGGGATGTATTCCCCCATTCCAAAGTGGATAATCTCGGTTATCGAAGAACAGACAGCCGACATATCCGCGTCAGTGAAGCAGACATCTCTATAAGGAAAGGTGGAGAAGTCTCTGAGCAGCTCCCAGTCGACATGTCCGTAATGCCAAGTTTTGCGGTCTGTACGAGTTTGTGCTGCCACAGCGGGTTCTGACTGAAACCTAACCTCCACAACACCGTGGTCTGAGTTACCCAGGGGGGACAGGACAGCAATGCTGTAAGGGACAGGATGCGTGGTCAGAAGAGTAGGTAAATTTGGGTGATGTTTTGGAGTTGAGACGAAGCCACAGAATGTCCTTCCGGTCTGATGCCAAAGAAACCTCTCTTGATCAGAAAGACTGCTACGGACAAAAGCTACAACTCGCCGTTCTTTCTCAGATTAGAGTGCACCTCGTAATTTGGGAAGCTAAGATGGTTAATCGGATTTTTGTCTCCGCCAAGAAAAGCATGGCGGGACGATTGGATTGCAAGTAGTGATGAACAGCATCAATGTTGTTGTTAATCCCGCAGCTGTTCGCGAAACCAGTTTGATTATCGATGTTCTAGACTAGAAGCCGATAAAGTTAAATAATTCGTAGTTAATTTACATTTTTATTTTAGTATTGTTTTAATTTCTTCGTGAGCCGCAATGGGTGATCTTTTTTATAACAGATAACTAATATTTATTTTTTTCGGCATTTATAACTAACAGCATTTATCATCTTTTTCATAACTTCCAGGCAACCAGTTATACAACACTCTGCATACGGTTGTATTCCGCCTCCTCTCCGGTTACTCGTAACTAGTTCGATCGGATCACCGGTATCCTGTAATGGCAGTCGTTTGTAGTCAACTAGTTCGTTTCTCGAACTACACACCTCTATCAAATAGGAGGATTATTTGTTTTATTCGCAATCGCGGTTCGCGCCTTTATGAACTAGGCTTTATGTTATCGCATTTGGATGCTCCTTCCGAAGGAATAGATATATTTAGCTGATGCAAATTGCAGGAGGATCTCCAAATGCCTGCGAAGAGTTCGAAATGCAAAATTCCGTCACATCGGAACAGCTAGGGGTGAACGATGTGCTCGAGCTGTTGCAACAAGAGTATGCTATTATCTCAGGTGGTAAATCAAAAGAAGGCTGTCCAATCATAACCTTTCCCGACAACAGTAACTTTGAAATGTTATCCGATACTGAATACCAACGCTTAATGCTGTATCTAACATCAGTGCCTTCGTAAGAATTTTTCTCACTCCTCTCTTATTTAAATCCTTGAAGGGCAACTATTAGACCAGGATATCTGCAATCTCAAAATCGTGGGCTTCCGTCGGGTTTTATCGAATTTTTATTACTAAGAGGAAAATTTAAAAAACTGTTGATCATACTTTGTGGCGCCTTAAGAAACGATTGAGGTACGGATGATCTCGAAATTTTTATTTTGTTTTTGTTTTGACTATAAAACAGTCTTACCAACACTTGAGTTACAAAAGTTCTATTCGAGGCCAAGAGTTCCGAATTTTAATGCACATGAATTTTTGACCCCCCCCCCTCCTCGTCATTGGGCGTAGCCTGCAGTAAGGTACCCCCTAGGGGGTTAGAGGGTATCAAAAGGAAAAATCCTCTAAGATTTAGGCTCCGAAAAAGTTCTTTCACGATCCAAAAAGTTCCGCAAATCGAAACTTATTCCGCCGATTCACAACACTGCTACAAAATGCTATCTCAAAATTTCTAAAATGATAGTTTTAAGGCCATATTTGTTGTTCTGTGATTGACATTTCCGTAAGAAGTGTAAGACAAATAGTGTGTTGAAGGTACGACAATCTATGCACGTTTTCTGGCATAAGTTTAAATGTTTCTGTACCGTAAACGCCCAGAAAAAAATATGTAATATGCTTACATACAGTGTGTCCCAGATTCGCTTCTCTATATAAGGATCTTGACTCCTGTTATAGCTTCAGCAAAGGTTAAATGGGAAAAGTTTTAGAGGAAACTTAGTGCAAAATGTCGAATTTTGCTTTTTGCAAAATCAGAAATGGTTAATGTCAAAATGTGACATTATTCGGACATTTTTTTAAGGTAAATAAGAGCGTGTATGACATGTCTTAATCATCTTTTGTTTTCCCGCAACCTGCCTCAACTTTAGTTTTTCTACTGACCGCCATATTAGATTTTTCGATTTTTGAAAAGAGCGTAAAATTTTCAGCCTAGTGATGTCTCACAAGTGCATAAAAGATTGGGCTATCATCGAAATATCATCACACGTAATGTTATGTATTAATTTTTTCTAAGGAGGCTCTAAACTTTGACGTTAAAGTATTGAAATTGTGGTTTAATAAGTTGTACGAAAAACTGTCATCAATTGTCAAAAATGTTTGGATGCAAATGGACGTTATTTTGCAAATCTTTGAATTAATACCCACTTATATAATTAGATTTTACATTACATTACAATTTTGTTCAAGTATAAAATCACTTTATGACGATTTTGCTGACTTGTTGGGAATTTGTCCCAAACCATTTGACTTGTTGAGAAGTCGATGTTAACGTTAATATTCTATTGAAATTCAAGGCGTTTATGTGTTTTTTGATACCTTACTCATTAGGTAATGTTATTTTCTGACAAATAAATCATGGCCTCCTTAGGAAAAAAACTAATACATAACATTACGTGTGATGATATTTCGGTGATTCTAAAATCTTTTTTGCACTTGAGAGACATCACTAGACTGAAAATTTTACACTCTTTTCAAAAATCAAAATCCAATGTGGCGGCTATAAGAAAAATGAAAGTTGAGGCTGGTAGCTGGAAAACAAAAGATGATTGGGAGATGTCATACTTATTGACTTAAAAAATGTCCGAATAATGTCACATTTTGGCAGCTGTCAAATTAACCGTTTTGGATTTACTGACAAAAAAAAAATCGCTATAATTGACCGATAGTAAATCTAAAGCCGGCTATCGAAAGCACTGAGTTTACTCTAAAACTTTCCACATTCAACCTTTGCTGTAGGTATAACAGGTGCCGAGATCTCTGTATAGAGAAGCGAATCTTTGGCACACTGCATAAGCGTTCCGACGCGTGGCAGCTGTCTTTTTGTTCTGGAACCTTACTCCCCTGAGTGCATTTGGGATTATGTGGAGCTGCGGACCTCGAAGTGTTAACCGATTTTCATTATATCAATATCATCAATACTATAAATTTATTTCATTGATAACATTCGCATTACCGCATAATAACTCCATTAGTGGGTTTATCTTACATTTTACCTTTAAAATATGATGTCTACTAGGTAACTCAAAATGCTGTCTGCTTTCATCAAAACATGAACATGATTATTAAAAAAACAAAATTTACGAATTTCGTAATCATCCGTACCTCAATCGTTTTTCGGTACACCACAAAGTATGTCTCAGGGCTCTATGTTTCTCTATAGAGTCGCGCAGACACAGCGGCAGTCAGATCGCGCCGGTCAGTGAGAACGCTCGCGTTCTTGCGTTCTATTGTCAGAAATACAAAGCACTCGTGGAACGCCTCGTTCGCAAAATGGGGTCTATAGAAAAATTAATTGATTTAGTAAGGGTAAGGCGCTTTTTATATGATCTTAGTAAGGCAGACTATAAAAATAGTTTAAAAAATGCAGCATGGCTTGAAATAGCCACCGAAATGGAAAAATACTGTCAATCTTTCTTTTTTAGATACAGCCTTTCTCCAGTTGTTGTATTTCCTTTGTTATATACGAGGTTTGTTCAAAAAGTATCGCGAATTTCGATCTTTTTATGGCGTTATGTTGGTACTCATGACCCTCACTAATGTGGACAATATCGGCCATTTTGAATCTTCAGTCAGTTTTTGACAGCTATTGTGCGTGGACGTGTTTTAGCTTGTCTCCGATTTTTGTCTATTCCAAAAAATGGATCAAAGAAGGTGTATTAAATTTTGTGTAAAAAACAACCTGAAGTGCGCGGACATATTCCAAATGTTGACTGTTGCATACGGCGAAGCTACTTTGGATATAAAAGCAACGTTTATCCGTGGTACAAAATGTTGCGAATGTGAGCTACGAAAAGCGTTCCGGACGTCCGGCCACGTCAACAACAGACGACAACATTGATGAAGTAAGGAAACTAGTATTGGCCAATCGTCGAATGACCGTCAAAGATGTTGCTGAGGACCTAAATATATCGATTGGCTCGTGCCATTTGATTTTGACCAATAGTTTGGGCATGAGACGGGTCGCCGCGAAATTCGTACCAAAATTGCTCAATGTCGACCAAAAACAAAATCGCATTAACATTGCTCAGGAGCTGGAGTTGGATTCTGTCCATGACGACCCAAATTTGCTCCAGAGAGTCATAGGCAGCAGCGGTGGCCGCAGTAGTAGACTCTTCGGTCTCCTGATCAGTCGCCGTGCGCTGTGCGGGTTCGAGTCCCGTCCCAGGAGAAATTTTCCTCTTGCCTATGGATGTTGTGATTGTCCGTAGGTGGTAGACTGTCGAACGTGGAGGTACCACCCGGCGGATCTCTCAGAATGTGTGCATGTTGCATGCACAGGTGTTCCCTCGCCAGAGTCCGTGTGGCGTTCCCCCTTTCCCCTGTATCCCCCTATAGCCCCACGGTACCCAATGGGTGTTTAGGCCTTAGGCCTTCATGGTAGTTGGAGTTGGAATAAGGAATATTACCTTCAAGTAATGCGCAATTTGCGAGAAGCAATTCGCCAGAAACGCTCGAATTTGTGGAAGAACAAAAATTGGCTTTTGCACCATGATAACGCCACTGCTCATGCATCGTTACTTGTGCGCGAATAATAATTGATTCATGAAAAAACATAAAATTCGTGATACTTTTTGAACAAACCTCGTAATCATGCAATTTATTGAAACTACTTAATGCCATCCGAAGGTAAATTAAAAATTGTTCTTCATCTCCAGGAAAAAGAACACTGAACTCTCCTTTTTGATCTCTCTCACAATTGGACCTAGTTATGCAACAAAGACCCAACTGACAGCAAGGTAGTTTTGAGAAAACAGCAAAAATCGTTATTGGTACTACATCAGTGTATTCATATAACAAAACACGTGCCATGAATATAAAACCAAAACATTTATTCTTAATAATAAAAAAACGATCAAATTATAATTGTACCTTGTCCCGAAAAAAAAAAACATTTGTTCCTTCTGGCTTATAAATATATCGTTTGGGCTTTGGTCTTCTAGTTCAAAAACCAATTCAGCGTCTATACAGGGTGTTCCTTAATGATATGCGAATATTTAAGGCTGTGAATCTACATGAAAAATTAATGTTAGTTTGCTTTATAAACGAGTACGAGGAAGATCGCTAGACACTTTAATATTTGCCATCAAATTGTTTGGGGAATTTTAGTGATTTTTTTGTTATACCCTTACCATATTTTAAGAGTACAGGCAATTACTTCCCATTGATTTTCCAAGGCGTGTGACCTTTGTCAGTGGTATCTTATTACACAAAATCCGCAATTTGAATCAATGATTCTGTTCACCGGACGAAGCTAATTTTTCTCGAAATGCCATTCAAAATTTCCACGATAATCATTTGTGGGCAGAAGAAAATCCCTATGCCTTAACCGAAACCCATTTCCAACATCAATGTTCGGTTAACGTATGGGCCAGAATTATTGGCAACCACTTTATTGGCCCATTCTTCTTGCTGGACAGACTTAGCTCAACAGTTGCTTTTGCTGCTTGATGATGTTCTGTTAGTAATAAGAAACAATATGTTGTAGATGCAAGATGGTGCACCAACGCATTTCAGTGTAGCGGTTCGTAATTATTTCCAAACTGTTTATCTAAATCGTTGGATTCGCCGCGGTGGATCCCAAGAATGGCCACCAAGGTCCCCAGACCTCGACAGTTTAGATTTGTTTTTGTCGGGCTATCTTAAGACACTAGTGTACACAAGTCTCATTAACACTGTAGAGGAATTAAGAGAAAGAATAGTTGCAGCTTGTGAGGCCATTTTGAACAATTTTTGTAATCATTTCGTTGGTTTTAATGTCATGTTTATGTTGTCAGTTGTTGTTGTTCATTACCCCTAATGTGTTTATTTTTTCCAATTAAATTAATAATGATTTTGCAAGTTTGACAATAGAACGGTTTTTATTTTTTTACTCAAAAATGGTGCATCGAAGGAAAACAATTCAAGAGAGATCATTTGTTTTAAATTGAACGGGGAATTCAAAAATAATTTTTATTTGGCAAAGAAGCGTTGGAGTACCATTTTTTTCTTAAAAAATATCGAAGTCAATACCCGTACGCACGCCACTGTTTAAGCTAAACATTATTTTTGCATTGAAAAATATGCAACTTTATTAACTTTCACTACGTACTAAATATCAGTGAAATATCTGAAGGGGTTCTGAAAATATTAATTAATTTCCATTTTTTTCTTAAAACTTCAACACCCCGAGTTTTTGAAAGGAAACATTTTTGGACCATAGTTTATAAAGCAAACTAACATTAATTTTTCATCTAGATTCACACCCTTAAATATTCGCATATCATTAAGGAAAACCATGTATATTCTTGTATAATCTCATCGACAGTTGAATTGGCGTAAAATTCGTGGTCAGCGGGTGGGATCAAGTGAAGGCAGCGCCGAATGTCCTTCAATTTATGTTCTGCAATAGGCTTTCCGTTCGGCCACAATTACTCCAAAAATGAGTTGAGTCTCATTTTTTCTTCTTTTCCCTTTTTAATACTTATTTCTTTATATTTTTCATCCTCATCTTAGGAATCCTTGAAAAAAATACTGTTAGCTTTTTTTTAAAAAAAGTTTAATTTCTTTGATGTTTGATGTTCTTTGATTTTTTCGTTATTTGCAGTTTTCTTTCTGTTGACGATTTTCTTTTCTAATTTATTTGTGCTCAGGAAGCCACCTTTTTCCATTTTAAGCACAGTAATTGCCCGTTTTTTTCTACAGGTATTCATGATGTCCATATAATCTTTAGGAGAAAATATTTTGTTTTGTTTTTTAATCACGCATTCTACGTCCCCAAAATCGATGTCGTTTTGCAAAAAGCTGTGGCCCGATACAAGAAACCTTAATCTTGTAGATTTTAACTGTTTCAGTTCCTCCAAAACACACTTTATAATGAGCACCATTTTTATGTTTCGGTTTTGACCTCCACACGAATCGCTCCAAAGAATGACATGTTCAATACTTTTTAGCAAATTTGTCAGGAAATATGTCCTTAAACGCGACCCTACCTCCTGAGCCCCACGGCCTGCTTCACCTTCAATCCATATATTGAAGGTAGACTCCCTCAGTTTCCCCGCATAAATTCCACAGTTATAAAGCCACAGTTGTCTTTTATAATATATCATATTTGTTGAAAGTCGTGGTAAAGGAAGAGTTTTCTGCATGGCAAATGTCATTGTTTCCAGATTTTCCTCTTGTTTTGCCTTGTCTAGATCTATTTTCATCTGAGTCCGAGCTGTGGCCGCTTCATCTAAATGTCTACTGTGCTCCTTTTTTTATTTATTTTTACTACTACCGTCAGGCAGGTTGGAAATTTTGACGGTATACCCCTCACATCTATTCATGTGTCCTTTATTGGCTTTTTCATCGTCAAGTTAAATTCGGTCGGAGTTTTAATGTCCATACCTTTAGATTATCCACAGCTGCTTCCGTCGCATTTTCTAGTATCTTCTGAACTATTTGTGACATGATTATACCATAGAATGGACCACAAAATTGATAATCGTAAAAGCATACGTCATAACCGTCTACCGCGTAGTTAAATGTATCGATACGCATTAAGGTCTATCCACACTCAGCCGTGACGTGACAGTGCTGTGACGTGCCAGTGATTCTCGCTGACGTGAGATCACAGTGTTTTCAATTCACGCCGGTCAGTATTTTTCTCCGTGCTCTGACAGTTCAGTTGTGTTCACGTGAGGTCGAGATGACATAATTTTCAGAGGATGAACTTGCAATTATTGCAATAATTCTGGATTTTTTTATACTCCAACTACCACGAAGGCCTAAGGCCTAAACACCCATACGGTACCGTGATGCTATAGGGGGAAACACAGGGGAAAAGAGAGATGCCACACGGACTCTGGCGCGGGAACACGTGTGCATGCAACGTGCACACATTCTGGCCCTGCCTACGAGATCCGCCGGGTAGTACCTCCGCGTTCGACAGTCAGAGACCGTCTACCACCAACGAAAGGTGGAGAAGAAGAAACGAAAAGAAAACGGAAGTCCTTGTATTTTGAATTTGACTGGTTCTACGCGTACAAATTCAATTAGTTTTTCATCATTCATGTTATCATCAATATATCAAAATATTCACGAAATTACATAAAAACAAAGCCATGAAAATATCGTTCCAAAATAATGCGACGATCATGGTACGGCGTCGTCGAGGGCACTGAGAACACGGCGACTTCCACGTGCCGGTCTAGTGTGAATCAGTTCATCCAAATTCCAGGAAAAATGTTTTTAGTTTCGCCGGGCGGATCACGTGCCGGTCACAGCACTGTCACGTCACGGCTGAGTATGAATAGGCCTTTATGGAACCAACATCCAGAATTTAGCAACATGGAATCGGAGTGAGTTGGATCCATTTTGAAAATATGTTTTCGGTCACGGTTTTGCAAAATACTACTACTGCTCAATAGATGACAGCGCTAGTTCCAATGTGTGGTTCGGTTTTGCCTATCGCTAGATATACAAATTTAGGTTCTCATAAAGTTGATATCTCATTTTTCACCGTTTTGTCGGTTGGTTCCTTGTTGCATAACGGGGTCCAATTAATCGGATGCGCCCAGTATCTTTTTCTGTTATTAGTCTCTTCAAAACTTGACAAAAGCAATGCTTCGTCTTCTGAAGACGAACTATCGAAATAGATGTTTCACGTACAAGTAAGCTTCGTAAAATGGAACGCAGTGTTCGTGACTCCCTCCTGACTGTTTTAGAACTAGTAAGAGGAACTGACCGGTCGAACGCGGCTTGAACGCTAAACGCTTGTCTGTCTGCGTGAGCCCTCAATAACCTTTTCAATTTTTCTCGCAGTAATAATAATTCGATAAAACTCCACTCATCCCAACAATTTTATTGACGTATTATACAACTGAATTAAATTCTTTAGGGTACATGAACAGATCCCCTGTCGACAGATACTACAAATGTTACTGGGTAGCTCTTTTTATAAATGCTAAAATTGAAAATAAAATACTTTTCCACATCTTGCTCTTTATATTATGTCCTTGTATATCCTCCACTACCAATATGAATTTTATGCGTATGTTTCAACTGTAGCCTAAGTCTTGTCAGGTATTTTACATAAAATATTAAGCAAACTGTGTCAGAAACCCCGATGACAAGATCGATGTAGATTGTCGGAGCTTTAGGTTACCAATAGGTTATTTTTTAGCCTTCACGATGCAGATTTGGGCTTCCATTTAATTATAGATAGAAGGAATGACAAGTGGAATTCCGTGAAAGCTGTTCTTTTAAAGATATCAGTAAGTACCTTATATTATAAGCTCAATTTTTCTTTTTAACATCTCTTTTATAAAAGTTATTTATAGGGACCGAATCCACTCCAAAATTTATAATCTTAGGCAATTCTTGACACCTCACGAGGAGTTTAATAATCCAAATGTATATTTTAAAGTGCTAAAAATAGTTTAGAACTAGAAAATAGATGGTGAACGTTAAGTGGTATACGATATCTCTTTATGTGAAACAACGTTGAATACCTAAGGAGCTGGCCGCATTTAACCCTAATGATTTTTATTAAAAAAAATACAGTAGATAGCTCTCATCTGTGCATAGCAAGGAACGGGGCGCCTGTATAGACTTGCTTGAACCCTTTGCGGTCAAGTTTACCATTTTATTATGATATCGTTCATTTTATGTTATAAGTACACTACCGTTCAAAAGTATTTGAACACCTGCATATTTCCATTTAAAATCGTAACAAACAAAAAACTATTTAGTACGTATTTATTTTTCTTTATTTATTAAAAAACCATCATCATGGAAATCAAGCATCATTGAGCCGTATTCATAAAACAAAGGAAATTCTTGTACATACTTGCAAATTTTGAAGGAAATCCTCCAGATGGCATTTATAATAATTTGAAGTAAATGCTTTTGCTTTTTGAGTATAAGCATATCCTTCAAAGCAGTGACATAAGTAGAAGGATATTCATAATTTTCACCTTATACTTGGAATAGGAAGCATATCCTTCAAAAATTCTGAGTGTGGTCAGTAGCAGACTCAACTTCGTAACGAAAGGTGGTCAAACGATGATGGCGGAAATTGTGGATGTTAGGGATGTTAAAACGTTCAAACGTCGTTTACCTTCACTTAGTCGTGACTTCAAAAAATTAGATCGGTTCGACGAAGCAAATGTACAATGGTTTGTGGACAGATTTTTATTTACGAATGAGGAAACTCGAGAAGCAGCACTTTCATGTATTCATAAAATGAAGATATGTCTACGCTATCTCGGTGACCCTGGATATCAACAAGGTATTGGTCAGGAACTTGGTGTTAGTCAAGCAACGACATCTCGGACTGTGGATAGAGTTGTGAACAACATAGTTGCACAGTCGAACGAATGGATCAAGTTTCCAACTACCAACCATGAACTGATGGAGGCCAAGCGGATATGGCAAAGCATGTATAAATTTCCGACAGCAATTGGTGTAATTGATTGTACACATATAGGAATCCTGAAACCAAATCGCCATGCAGATGAGTATATCAACCGAAACGGGAAACCTACTTTAAATGTGCAAGCCACTTGTGATGCCAGAGAGATGTTCACAAGTGTTGATGTCAGTTGGCCTGGATCAGTGCATGATTCAGAATATGGAGAAATTCACAGACTAGATCACAACTAATAAATAAAACAAATGTTGTACTACTTGGCGATGACGGTTATGGTATTGAGCTATACCTTATGACTCCTTTCAGAAATCCTACTCCAGGTGCAGAAATAAATTATAATAAGCTTCTACAACAAGAAAGAGTTATAATTGAACGCTGTTTCGGCCAACTGAAACGCCGGTTTCCTATCCTACAGTATGTTTGCCGCGTAAAGTTGGAAAATGTGCCAAAATAATTATTGCTTGTATTGTACTCCATAATGTTGTGAAGAGCTTGGGCGATCCTGACTTTGAGTTAGTTGAACAAGACCCAGATGAAGATGAAGGAAATCATGAGAATGACGAACTTCCTCTCCGCCAACTAGGTCAACAAATAAGAAGAAACTTGGGTATTATAATAAATAGCTTTACTGACGAAAGTGTATTTGTGAGTTATAATAAGTTTTATTTTCGTGAACATCATAAGTTACAGGTGGCTTCTGACGCTGCATCATTTCTAATTTCGTTTTATAATACTCTTGATGTAAAATACTTGTTTGGTACTGCTGTAATAGCACTAGACGTTGCAGTTCTTTTGTAGTTAACCCTTTGGTTTCCTCAGTTTCGTATTTCTCTGTTGCTAGCGCTGTAATACTAACTATTTGCTGACTGCGCTCGGTATATAGTTCACTTCCTTCTTCTTGAACACTACCAACCTGAATGGCACCTCTAATTTTCCCAATTTTAGGATTACAGACACCTTCCATAGCTTTTTGCAACTTTCTTTCCAATCTAACAATTTAATTGCTTTATTACCAGTTTTTTTTAGATCTGGTTTTTTCTTCAATTTCGATTTCATGTTGTTGATTTTTTTTCATCTAATGGTTTACCGAACGTTGATTCGTATTTTTTCAACATCTTCTTCAAGGCATCGCCCTTTCTGATTTTTATTTTTGGAACTTGTGACTTTTCAAAATAATGGGAGCAATGGCAATTTCATCTGCGATGAACTGCAGGTCATTGCCATTATTTGCTATAGTTTCTCATCACTTGAGGATGACATGCTTATTAATTTGATAAAAAACTGTATCCAGTAAAAATACGGAACGGTCTGTGTAAGCTCTGTAGTACAACTGTCAGTGATGCTGAGTGAACGAACTCCCACGTCAACTACAAGCTGGAACAAGTCAGGACATGTCGCTCAAGATACAAATACTAGTCAACCATTTACTTCTTCTTGGAGGATATCCTCGCGAGTATAAGGTAATCATTAAATGATGGTATCGCGTCGCGGAATCGCGTTTTTAAAAACGACTTACAAGCGATTTGATACTTTATTCTAATATAAATACAATGTTTCGACTAACAACGATATGTTAGCAAACCTAACCTAAGTGAGTTCAATTTAAGAGTAATAGGATTAAACTGATGCCTGAAGGGCACAACCATCAATATATAACATAGGGTTGTTTACTAAGATAAGATATAAATACACCGATTAGGAAGATATACGAGGGGCTTTCGCTATATAACTATTATGAATATGAAAACAAGGATATGCTTATACGTTGACCTTTTTCTCCGAAGCAAGACCTTATACTTTTACCTTATGCTTCCGAGGATATACTTCTCTTTTATGAATACGGCTCATTGAAAGGTCTTTCAAATCAAAATGTTGCTCACTCTATTATTGGGATCTCACCATTAGCCATAATAAGAATTTATTTGCCTTTAGAATATTATGTTTTTATAAAGAAATTCTTTCTCATTATTTGTTTTTCGATTATTTCTTTAAATTTGTGTTGTATGTGAACCCATAACAGTTTTACTTCAGTTATCTTGTCACTTTTGGTAAATTAACAGGGGTTCCCAATCTTTTAAAACCCGCGTCGCAGTTACAAGTTTAGTATTTTGTCACGGCGCCCGAAAAAAAGACAGTCGATAGAAATAGTTAGGTACCTTCAATAATAGTAGTTCGGTTAGCGAGATCGAAACAAAAATTGAAACATCTACATATCTACAATATTAAATTGACTTTTTTATTATAAAAGAATTGAAACTGAAAACAACGAGAAAAACTTAAGAAAACCAAAAATAAAATACAATATTTACTCCGTCAAATCAGTCATGGGTGAGTTTGGTAATCTCCGCACAGTTTTTCGAAGCGGGAAATAAGACTCTCATTTCTTGCTCCACGTTGATCCAGCTTCACGTAGATATGATGTTGCAAACGGAATTAAAATTCTTAATGCTTTTGAAGTTAAATTTGAATATTCATTTTGGATCGATAACCAAAACTCCACCAAATCGGAACTGGTGAATCTAATTTTAAGGCTGCTGTCGCAAGAGAGTTTAATGAGACTTTCTTCATCTTGTGATGTGAATCGTGGTGGAGTTTGTGAATGAATTTGGTCTTGGATGCACGCAATTTTTTTGACATCATCATCTGCAAAGTACTTCAAAAACCATTCGGCGAGCTTCACTAGGTGTTCCGTAAAAAGGGCAATCAGGTCTTGTGAGATAACCAGTTTCGATGCCGCGTATTTATACAATTGAGGGAAGCAATCTTGACCGTCGCCTTCATTCATTTTTTTTATCCTCAACTGCAGTTTCATTCTAAATGCCGCAATCCTCTCCGATAGTTTCAGAATTTGCGTATTGTTACCTTGCAAAAAGAGTTTAAAATTATTTCATTTCTCGAATATATCGCATAAATATGCTAGTTTTAATTTTAAAACGATTCCACGTGAAAGCCATCGTGAATTACAATAATACAGCAAGGCCGTATGTTCGGCTCCCATATCTATGCATAGTTTTTTAAAAAGTCTGGCCTTTAGAGGCATAGTTTTTATACAGGGTGGCGCGTCGAAAACGAAACAGACGCATTTACTGGCAGCTCATTTTTTTTTTTGAAAAACGCTTAGACCTGTCGATTCTGATTTCGAGGGGGACACAAGTTTGGCAAAAAAATCACGTTAGCACGTGCAGCCCCCCAAGCGGGGGTGGCATCACCCCCAAAATCTTAAATGGAAAGGGGGTCGAGTGATACCTTATTTGAAAGGTCTTTCAATTCCCTTTATATTGATGTAAAATACATGAGCTTCAGTTCAGTAGTTTTGAATATTTATTGATTTAAAGCTTAAAGTAGACTTTAATAGGTACATCAGATTAGTTTGTACTACTTTCAGAAGAAATTTGACTAAAAGAAGTTACTTAATAAGTAAATGCTTTTCTTCACTACGCCCATGGTTTGTTTATCATTTTGTTGTTGAAAATAGCTATTGGAGCGTTTTTTTTGTGGCACAAAAGTTATGTGATATCTTATTTTAAAGGTCTTTCAATTCACTTTATAATGATATAAAATTAATGTACTTCAGTTCAGTAGTTTTGGAGATTTATTGATTTAAAGCTTAAATAAAACTAATAAATTATCATTAGTGGAGATCAATACATTTGGCAGCAAAGTAATTTAAAAATGAAGAATGAACTGACCCGTTAGGCAAGTAAATGTTGAAAATGGCCACCATGACTTTCCATACAATAATAAAGATTTTGCTCAAAACGTTGCCGCACATTTTGCAATATTTGAGGAGTAATTTGAAGGCACTCTTTCAGAATTCTTTGTCGCAGGATGTTGGCTGAGTAGCATAGATTTTGCTTTTTAAATGAACCCGCATAAAGAAAT